ATCACATCCAGTTATAAATCCATCAGTGGACTCATCCAGTATCACCCACACATAATCCAGTACCACACAATCGTGATCCAATCACCTCCCAAAATCCTCACCTATGAGTGCATGAGGCTTTGGGGAGATATCTAGGTACAAACCATAACACAGGAGTTATATTTGAAAACTTGAAAGTATTATACAGGTTAATATTTGTGATGGTCTTAAGATTTATCTATGGTATATTCATCAATTAAGGACTGTATACATGTTTGGTGAAATAAAAATAATAAATAATAAGTTATGGTTGGGTGTCAGGCAAATCAACACAAAATTAATGTTTATTAGTCATTAATAGATATGGTAGGAGGAATTCTAAGAAGCGCTCAGGATTCTTCGGTTCTCATACATATACAAGGGATGGTTGAAATACATAGTGAATGATTAAATCTTTAAAAACTTGTTATAGTATGCAACACACTGCTAATAATGATGGGATAATTGTGGTCAAAGTGAGGGGACTATTTTGAGGGGGGTTAATGGTATGTGACTTTTACTGTAATGAATTTTTAAATATTCACAATATATTTTGATCACCCCATGTTGACTCAATGTTTAGGCAATTTCTGTGGAATAAAAACATTATGTTGAGTCCTCATCTATCTTATTAACTAGATCTGTCACCAAGAGGTGTCTAGCTCTTCCTAAAATCAAAATGACTATGAAAGATAAACATTTTGATTGGATTCAGGGCATCAAGGCAGCCATAGCAATGTAACTAAAGGTACTCACAAAAGAGGACTTCCATACCTGCTTCAGGAAGTGTCATGAACAATGGAATAAATGTGCTCAAAGTAAGGGGAACTATTTTAAGAGAGATTATTGGCAATCTCGTGCCAGTAATTAATGATGTCTTTTACTGTAATTAACTTATTAAAATTTAACCATTAATTGGACTGTTTGACCACCTCTCATACTTCTGCCACTTATTCAAACACTAATCTAGATTCTTCTTGAAAGGGATTTTGCAGATGTAATGAATATCTCAAATCAGTTGAACTTAAAGCCAAGATATCATAGAAGTAGGCCTGACATAATCAGGAAAGTCAATTAGAGGCAGAGAGCTTTGTGTAGCTAGTCACAGAATAGGAAGTCAAGGAAAAACACTGTTCTGTTCTGGAAGAAAGTAAACATCCATGCTGGGAACTTCCTGTGGAAGCGAGCCACATGGAACTGAGTGGTTTTCAGATGCCGAGAGCAGCCTCTGACTGACAGCTAACAGGAAAGCAACAGCCTCATTCCTACATCTGCAAAGATTTCTCCCCAGCCAATGAGCTTGGAAAAAAGTTCTATGTGCCCCAGATAATGCTACCATTGCCCTGGCCAACACCTTGGTTGCAGCCTCCTGAGACCCTGAACAGAGAATCTAGCCACTTGTGCCTAAAACTCTGATTTATAAAACCTATTTCACAGTCAACCTGCAGTCTTTCAGGCCACTAAATTTTTGATAATTTGGTATGCACCAGCAGAATACTACTATAGTAGGAAAGAAAAGGCGAAAAAAGACAAAAACAAACATATAACACAACTACTAAATGAGCAGCTAGTTTTGTCCAAAGTCCGGGTGGTTTTCCCCCGCCCTGTTACATTACAGGATAAGATCCTCTCACTGACGAAGTCCATCCAAAATACTCTGTTTAAAAGATAAGAAAAGTATCATTCTGTGTCCACCAGCATCACTGGTAGGAGGACTAGGTTGGCTTATTTATCCTACGAGGCAGCAAATTTGGGGGTCTTTTAAACTGGCTCATGTGGTCAGGGAAAAGGTTATGTAATATCCAGGCCTAAATATGGCGCAATCTCACAGGGTCATATTTGAACCTTTATCTACAGATTGGCCTGTAACTCCACATTCCAAATCCTCCAAGAAAATTAGGGGAGTTTTAGGGCCTGGAGAGCCCTGGGATTGACTTAAGCAAAGACAAGGCAGAGCATGTAGACACTAACAGTTCTGGCCTCAAAATTAAACTCTGGCTCTACCCCTACGTACTGTGGGACTTTATGCAATTTCCTTAGCCTCTCTGCACCATGTGTGAAATGGGATAAGGATTGTGAGGATACTTATAAATCTCTAATGCATAATGCCTAGCTCTTAGCAAGGTCTTTAAAATGGGAGCTGTTATTTAGTTGCTTTTCATGTGGACCTGATGTTGCATTGAAGCTCTGATGTTGACTTTTTATAATGTTACAAAGAACCAACCCTGTGCTCCAGAGTAGATAGCTGAGCACAGCTTGGTCCCTCAGTTTCTGAGTGATTAGTGCCTGTTTAAAGGCTGGTGACTCCAGCCTGGTGTATGAAGTATCAGATCATGTCAATCAGCCCATTTCAGATCCATAGTAAAAAAAAATCATCATTTCCTGGTTCCTTCCTCTTGCTTTCATCTTTTCTTGTAACATGAATTGTGTCAGTGATGTGCACAAATTTTTTTAATTTTTTTTTATTTTAAAGAGTTTAAGACAAAAGGGAACATAACAAAGCAGATCAGAACAGAACAATTTAAGCAACAAAATACTTTACCACAAGCCAACCCGACATAACAGTAGTTACCATAATGTCTCTTTCTTTGAAATAGTTGAGCATACCTTCATATACAATAGTATCAAACATAACAAAATAGTATAAAACCATTCAAGCGAATGAAAGCATCACAGGGCCTTCAGTGGGCACAAATTTGCCAGGGTTTAGAAACAACAGCAAAATGGCAGCATGCAATTAGTCTACAAAAACATGTAAATTTGCAGCCTAAGAGCCAACAAAAATGATTATTTTTAAAGATGGTTTAATGAAGCTAAGTTTACACCCATAGATCATGAAGGTGGGGTCCATTAAATGTCATTTAACCAGCTTTGATATCATCTATCAGAATTTATGAGGTTGTGCTGCATTGGAATGATAAAACATTCAAAGCATATATCACGTATAAATATAACTACATCTGGACTCATAAAAGTGTACTATTTTGAATCTTCTGAGCATTGCTAAGTGAGGTAATTTGAAAATTCTCTAAACTGCAATGAAGAAGATGGTGGTGCTATTTCATCCATTTGTGAGGACAATCTTCTGCTATATAGATTTACACATTGATTAATTTCCTGGATTTTGGAATAAAACACTGTTCTACTAATTCTGTTATGGTCTTGGATTAAACTCAGTGAATTTGGCTGAGGTAAGATTTAACATAAGCGTGGGTCTGTCTGATGCATTTTATATGAGAAACCAGGCTATTTTTTGAATTGATGTTTTTTCAAAAAGAAAACTACAGCAAAATGCCTACAATGCTTCACCCTTTGGCAAAAGAAAGATTCTTGGACTACAGTATAAGATTCAGAAAGTGAAACATCTTTACCTATGTCATTCACTGTTCCTATCTTGTTGCTTACAATAGTATCTATGGCACAGACAAAGGCACTCATTAGATGGTTCCTAAATAAATGATTCAGTGAATTAGTGAAGTAAATTGCTAAGCCAGTGGCAGGATACTGGTATTCATTAGTTATCCAAATTCTGAGCAATAAATATAATCATGATCAAATTAGGAAAAAAGCAAACAGGAGAAGGTGACTTCTTTCTTTACATTTGAATTATTAGAAGAGAACTTGAGTTATTACTGGAAGAGAAGAAAACCTGGTGCCGGTAGATTCTATCTCCACAAAGTTTTCATTCCTGAATGGAAATTTCCAGAGCCTCTGTTGTAAACCATTTTATAATGGGTCATTTATGACACTCTTTTGCTAAAGCGATTATGTGGCAACAGCGCCATCTCCTGGGAGAACTAGTTTGGCATATTAGAAGACTTTTTCTTTTTTCATATAGCAAATCAAATTTAGAATCTAGAAAATATATAATCGAAATATCTTTAGAGCCCATCTAGGCCATGTCATCTTATAGGTAAAGATTTTCCTTAAGTGGTCACAAATATTTTGTTTTTATTGTAATTAAACCCCAAATTGATCTCCAAAAGAAATCATTAAAACTGCAACCATCAATGCTAAACTACATCACACATTTCTGGTAAATCTGAGAATGAAAAGAAGTTAAAATCCATTCACTGACCATCTAAGAAACTATCTCCAGAACAACGTCTGCATTGTAACCCAACAGAGTAACCACTAGCCAGGTGCGGTTATTAAGCTTTTGAAATGTGACTAATGACAATGATGAACTGGATTTTTACATTTCTAGGTGATTTTAATTATTTTAAAATTAAATTTAATTAATTGTAAATTATCCATATACAGGATAGTGCAGGTTTTCTCAACCTTAGCACTATTTATTAGGTAGTTCTTTGATGTGCATGAGAGGCTGTCCTGTGTATTGTAGGATGTTGGCAGCAACCCTGGCCTCTAACTGCTAGGTAGAAGCTCATATGATATGCCCTCTCAGCTGTGACAAACAAAAATGTCTCCAAACATTGCCTAATGTCCTGTGGGTGGAAGTACAAAATCATTCACAGTTGTAAAATACTAGACTAGCAACTACCATATTAATGACACAGTTAACTAAAGAACTTGCCCATACACTGGGACAGTAGTAGTTTTGTCATAAGAACAGGAAAGGCACAAGAAAACAGATATTGTCTTTGTCTTTCTTCCCATGTTACAAAAATGGAGCCAGGACAATAACGTTGGCAAACTCAGCCTCAGTCGAAACTCCCCAGTTAACATCAGAAAATCTATGTTTGAACCTGGCTCCTCTCTCCTTGATCTGAGTAATTGAACATATTGATGTTCCTGAGTTTCAGCAAATTACCTGGGGGAAGTGCCCACCTGCTAGGTTTGCTGTGAGGGTTAAATCAGATGATGTATAAAGTATTCTTTGCTTACTGTAGTAGATATTAAAAAGGTAGTCGTTTAACAATTTTAGGCACTCTTCTAATCAGAGAGGAAACTATGCCTTCTAGTGTATCATATAAAGTAATCATTGTGCTTCAATTATAAACAAAAATCGAATGAAAAAATTTTGCCAGGATCTATGAGCCTAACTTTATTTTAGGTTCTGATGGCAACAACATTCAATTATGTTTTGCTGGTGTTTCTGAATCCATTTCTTCGACACAGTTAAGGTGTAGGAGAAACTGTTTCAGTGTGTCTGGAAGGATGAGCTCAGTTATCTTATGATGCTGCTGGATTCCAAAGCACTGTCTGATTCTCAAGCGGCATAGCTCCATCAAAGAAGAAGGCCCTGGAGAAAGATCATAAGACAAGTCTCACACTAGTTTCATTGATCTAAGACTGCTTTTCTTTTCCTTTTTTAAAAAAAATCTTACAAGATAAAACATTGTTACAAGGAAATAATATGAGACTGTTTCAGACCATTTTCCATCTGGGCTGTTTTTTTGCAGCAGGCATTTTTTAGATTATTTTCTCTCTTTTCTGGTGTCTGACTGAAGTTAGCTCATTGGGTTTTAATTTAGAACAGAGTTTAAGAAATTTAAAGGTTAGTCTTACTAGCAGAGGCTTAAGGAAACTAATTTGAGAATTATACTGCTACACAAAAACATCTAATAATGAAACTAAAATTTATGTTTAATGGCATTCTTGAGTCTTTGACCTTAAAAAATGAAATCACAGTTCTAGATGTGAGCATGACTATTTTATAATTTGATTAATTATTAAATTATTCTGATACAGTAATATATCTGTGAACCATAAATGTGTACTGGCTTATTAAGTCATATTTGCTTTCATGTTTGTAATGCTGAACTACCCTAAAGCTTCAAATCATCAATGAAAAGAAATTAATATAAACCTTTCACAGAATATATTCAAATATTTCCATTTAGGGCCCTGGATCACCAGAGGGGAGAGGCTTGGAAGAGGGAAGAAAGAAATACTTTGCTCCCCAGGGAACGAGGCAATACCTGGAGACATTTTTTGGAGATATTTAATTATCATAACATGGGAAAAATACTGCTGACATCATGTAGGTAGAGGCCAGGGCTACTGATAAACGTGCTACAAGGAACAGGACAGACTTCAACTGGCCCAAAGTGCCTTGAGTGCTGAGGTTTGAGAAACCTCGATACAGGATAACAGGATGGGGAATGATTTCTCATCTTCTCCCTCACTCTTTGCATCATACTGTAGTGAAAATTCTCTTTGAAACTATTGAGGAGTTCCAGGAATCCTCAATCCCAGCTATACTTCAGAATTGTCTGGGATAGGAGAACTTCAAGCTATATGATGTTGGGCCCTACTCCAGAGATGTTGCTTCAGTTATTGTTAGCTGGGACCTGTTGTACATGGACGTTTTAAAAAGACATGAGCCCCAGCAACAGTTGAGAATACACCCAAAAGGATATTGTGGGTTCTACTTTTTCATAGGCTGACCAAAATCTGCAGGGTAAACTGTTATCTCTCAGGTGATAGAGAACAAGGAGAGAAAGGAAGAGACAAATACCAAAGAAATGAATTCAAGGTATTGTTTTGCTTTGTTTTGTTTTGTCATACTGGAGATCGAATCCAAGGTACTCACACTGAGCTACATCCCAAGCTTTTTTCTTTTTAATTTGAGACAGGGTCTTGCTCAATCACTGAATTGCCAGACTGATCTCAAAGTTCTAATCCTGTTTCAGCCTCCCAGAATTCTGGGGTTACAAGCATATAGTGCCACTGCTGTTTGAATGTAAGATTTTAAATTGGGTCTTAACTTTCCAATGGCTCATATTATGGCTTGTATCTAGATGCTCCCTGAAGCCTCATGTGCTCATAGGTGGGGTTTTGAGAGTTGCTGGCTCATGATTGTATGGTACAGGTTCTAGCATGTGATACTAGGATTAAGGGCATGTGAAAACTTAAGAGTTTAGCATAGTTCTAGGTGTGTATAATGAAAGCCTCTCTCAGTGTGGATGACACCAGCCAATGGGTTTGTAGCCTGGATGAAATATAAAGGGACAGAAAGAAGTTGGGCTTGTTTACTGCTGCTGCTTGCTGCCTTCTGCTTGCCACACCATGAACTGTTTCTCCTCTGTCATGCTCCTCTGCCATGAAATCCTGCCTTGGAGCCAGTGAGCTATGGACTAAAACCTCTACAAATTGCCAGCTAAGTAAGTTTTTCCTCCTTTAACTTGTGGATGTCAGGTATTTTGTCCCAGCAATGAGAACAGTAACTAAGATGGGTCCTGTTAGAATTTAGAGCACCTTTCAAATTATAGCCAGTGCATTGAAAGTCTATACTAACACAATGCAAAAGGTACACTGTGGAAAAACTGACTTTAATCTCACCAAGGAATAATGAAAGATGTGATTAATAATATTTTCTGGATATACTACCAGGGTAACTAGGAGGTAGTGATAAAGCACTATAAAGAACACGATCTGAGAGCAAGACTGATGCAATTATGCAAGGCAGGACGTCAGAGTAAGTGCAATATAATATTGACGCTAATTGAATAGCTGCTGTTTAGTACAAGTAGGACAACTTACAATAACTATAGTTCTAATTCCATATAAACAGAGCTGAAAATCCACTACAATTTTGTAGCCACTTGGTGGCACATGCAAGCCTTGAAGGGGGTTGCTAAGCAGCCAATTTGTCTCTTTGGACCTCACTTTCTCCCCTACCCACCCCTCCCCAGCAGCATTCATGAGGCTTCAAGGCCGAAGTGTGAAAGGCTCCTGCCCTGCTAGGCTAACAGAGTCATTCTTGGTTTTCATTGCATGTCATGCGCAAACATGGCTATCGATGCTTATCAAGACCGGTAATGTTCTCGAAATTATTTCCCTTTCATTCCAAAGAGAGGAGAATCTTGCTTTTCCTAACTACCATGTAAACACAACTTAGAACAAAGTTGACTCTTACCTGATGTTTTCCTGTCACACCACCGAAAGGAGTAATTAATTAAATATCACACAGAAGCATATGGATTGAATTATCAGGCACACACAGAGAGGAAAATGGGTTAAATCTGCAGGTATGAATTCCTATGTTTGCCTGGCAGCACCATTTCTGGTGGGCTTCCCACCCACCCAGAAGTGACTTCAGCAGAATTCCAAAAACAACTCATGGGGGGGAAACAAGCCAGTGATTCTCTCTGGTGGCCAAACCATGCATTTACTTATTTGTCTATTTACTTATTTTTGCTGCTGGGATTGAACCTCGGGTCTTACCCATGCTAAGCTGAGCCACATCTCAAGCCCTCAAAAGTGCACTTTATAAACTAGTTGGGTCCTTGGCCACACTGTCACTATGCAAAATGAGAAGTGAAGGAATTCAAGATAACCTAGGTCGCTAGAAATGGTTTTGAGAAATACAATGGAAAAGAAGAGCCAGTGAAAGCAATTTGAGAATCTTAGGAGGTTATTTGATGGGAAATGGGTTATGACTTTCAGGGGTCCTAAGGCACTTTTACCTCTGTGGATCTCTGCCCTAGTAAAAATATATTAAAATTATATTGTACTATTACATTGGTATAAAGATGAATATAATTTAGGTTGAGTTTGTTCAGTTTTTTCTTCTGACTTTGAAAGAAATTGAGACATTTGTGTGAGCCCTGAGGCACTATAGGAGAAATCAGCTCTATATAAATTGCATTTTTTGAAAATAAGAAGTCATCAAAATGCAGGTAGAACTGCCCAGTAATTATCCCACCCACTGTTTAACATAAAGGGGTCTCCAACGGCCTCTTCACTCTTCTGGGGTCTATATTCGCCAGCCCTGCCAACATCAGCACTGCTGGGGAGCACAGGCATGCCCCAACACAGGGGTTTGGCTGCGGCAGTAAGAATAGGAAGAATTCCTTGGCCCACTTTGCAGTTCTGCCCAGAACCAGCTGTGTTTCTCAGCAAGTGGGGAAAGAATCCCAAATTACAACACATGGCATCAGAATCCTGGTAGAGAAACTTATCAAAAATTCTACAGCCACTATAGTTTTTAAACTGTTTTTTTTTAAAAAAGGAAGAAAAGAAAACTTTTTTTTACTGAAAAGATTCAGCAAGTACTGAATTAAGTCGAGGAACAATTAAGATTGAAATCAGATGTCACCCCAAGCTGGGTGTTTTTGCTTCCCATGTTGGCCCATGCACCAAGAGAATACTCTTTCTCCTGTGTACATCAATGTACCACAGTATTTAGTTGTTTGGTTTAGAAGTGTCAGTTCTTATTAATGTAGGAGTGTGGACTTACCTTTGGTTAGCTAATAGTAGTAAATGTGTCTTTATTGATGTGAATCATTAAAGAAATACCCTAAATACTTAATTACCTACATTTTAATGCCAGAGATCAAATTCCCAGTACTTTGGCCCACCTTTAGTGAAATAAGAAATTCTGGGCATCATGCAATGCCAAAGAGGTTTTTGATGCACCATTTCAAAGCATGTTTTAGGTAACTTTAATTTTGAAATTTTAAAATGTGAATTTAAGTTTTTGAACTAGCCTACCGTATATGTGAATATTAGATCATCCCAAACAACTTATCTCCAACATACAAAACAGCAGGGGGACTGTCCACTACATAACCAATACTGCATCTTGTTAAATACTAAATGTTTTCAACTTCCTCACACTTGGTAGCAGAGAGTGATCTTCTACAGGGATGGAAGTCAGAACTTAGTAAATATCTGCCTCCTCTTAGTGCCAGAAGACACCCTCTACAGATTAGAGCTTAGATTTGGGCAAAGAAAAAGCACCTTCTCTCTGCAAGAAGAGCTTAATCAAAGGACTGTCTGGAGGCAACAGGTCCACAGGACGTTTGCCTTCAGCATTCCTGGCCTGGATGTTTGCTCCGAAGTCCATGAGCAGGCAAGCCAGCTCCTCACTGTACATCCTGGCTGCTACATGAAGAGGAGAATCCAGATCCTTGCCTTGGTTCACATCTGCTCCTAAACAGACATACGAACAAAACATAGTCAGCCACAAAGTGGAGCCCAGCCAATTCCCCACACTCAGAGCACTGAATCTCAAAATTCCCTAATGAAAGAGAATCCGTGGGGAGCATGGTAATTCTGTGAAACCAGAAGATGATTTGATCCCATTTAATACATGAAGAAAATGTCATTTGGCAGTGCAACTGTATGTGCCACAAGAGTTGTATAGCACATGAGGTTAAAAAAGTTTGCCACTGAGCGTTACTCACAGGCATGATACACAGAAGAAAAAACCTGGTGACCAGAAAGCATACCACATGCATTGTGAACAGAGTCTAAGAATTAGTCAATGTGGTTCAGGCATGGTGGGGCATGCCTTTAATCCCACTACCTTAGGAGGCTGAGGCAGGACAAAAGGTGCAAGTTCAAGGCGAGCCTTGAATATCGGCATACAACTGTCTCAAAAAATCAGTCAGTACTGAGAGTAAAGCAAGATGGTGAAATTCTGTATATACCTAGCCACCAAATTCATGTTCTGAGCATCTGCCATGGGACTTAGACCTAGGACTTAAGAATGTGAGATTTGGACTGTGAAAACCAACCAATTCTTGGGGGGGGGGTCTCTGAGTTTTGGATGGCCAATCCCAAGATCACAGAGAAGGTGGCCAACTTTTCCTCTTCAGGAGTAGAGAGGACCTAGGACCATCTCCCACTCAATTCCACACCTACACTCCTAACAAATCCCCACCCGAACCCAGTTCTTGGCTCCTGCTGTAATATGTTAAGACATGTAGGTCCTGCTGAGCAACTGTCCCTCCAGCAAAATTAGGATCTATGTCCGTTCAATAAATGTTACCCAAATTGATCATGCATTATGTTTGACTTTGTAAGTGATGTAAAACAGGGTTCTTTCCAGGCTAGGAACTTAAAATCTACCTAGGGTAATGGGAGAGGAAGGTGGAGAAACATAGAGGGAGAGTGAGCAGAGAGAGAGAGGAGGAGAGAGAGAGACAGAGAGAGAGAGAGAGAGAGAGAGAGAGAGAGAGAGAGAGAGACAACACAGAAACAGAGAAAGAACAGAGTGACAGAGAAAGAACGAGACAGAACGAGACAGATATAAAGAGACACAAACAAATATGCATGAACATGAATAAATCTCCTAATTCATAGAAGTAGCTGTGAATGAATGTAAAGCAATAAGGACTACAAGAATATTCAGTACAGGGAAGGGTTTCTGGATTTTTTTTAATGGTGGCAATGTTTTGTATTTATTAAACAATAAAGATACACCCTTCATAGGGTGAACCACTATGAAGGGATGTGATGGCCTGGAATGTTAAAGAATGAAAAAGACTCACAAAATTAAAGAGGTGGTAAAGTAGTGTCCTGGGTGTTGAAAAGATGGCTGGACAATAGCAGGGAAGTGAAAAGGCAAAATAAAATACTTAAAATGGGGCAAATTCAATATCCAAATCAAACAAATCAATGAGGGCAGTCTCAGAAGGAAGACTCGGCCCAAATCCAGCAAATTTGCAAGTTGTGCAGGGCCTCATCATACAATTGGCCAAAAGGAGAGAGGTGGAGCAATAGGAGGAGGAAGGAATGATCATTGTGGACCAAGGGGTATCAACATCATCATCATCATTATCATCATCATCACCATTCTGCTTATGAATAAGAGAACTAAAGTCCAACCCGTGTGAAATGACCACCAATGGGAACACATCATGGACTCTGGTATTACCCAACTCTTGGCCTGAACTCATTCTCCCCCAATAGAAATATCTTTAAAATACATTTCATTTTGTTTTCATTTTCTTTCCTTGCTCCCCCCGCCCCCGACTTACCTGACTCCAGAAGCTTCTTGACACAGGCTAGCTGCTGTTTTTCACAGGCCAAATACAAGGGGGTGCCCAGGTGACTGATGTTATGGTTAATGTTGGCACCATAAGCTACAAGGGCCTCGATGCACTCCATATGGCCTGTAGCCCAAAGCAGTAGAAAGCAGTTAGAGCACAGGTTCCCTTAACTAGGGAAATGACATTGTCCCCATTTTTTGCATGTTTAAATTTGCCAGTAATGTAGCCAAGGATCAAAACTTATTTCCTTTACTTAGAATGAAGAATGATTTTACATATTGCCATCAGTTAAAGGGTTGAGCCCAAGATGAGATCTGTGGCTAAGGGTGGAACTGTAGTTAAATTCAGTAGTCGGAGTAAGCAATCAGCAACCATCCACATTTTTCAATTATTTGTGGCCAATAGAGGAACAGGAACTGAAAGTGGACTTGAAGAAGAAAGGATGTGATGTGGGCCACAGGACAGGAAAGGAAACTTCTGATCTCAACAAGAGCAGGCCTGGAATCAGCAGGCCACAGCTGGCCCAGGCAAAGCTCGCAAGAAGCTGCCAAACCCAATAGGAACAGGACCCAGCCTGGCAAGCTAGATTTGGTGAAAGATGAATCACTCTGCTTTGGTCCAGAATATCATACTTTAAACAATGTCCCTGCATGTTTTTCTAGTTATGCCATGTTAGCTGTATGTATCCCTTTTAGTTGTATGAGTTGGCAGGCCTCTTAAATAAATATCAGTGTTTGGGGAGATAATAATCTTATGGATTGATCCTGTCAAAAAGAAGCCATTCTGGAAAGCTACCAGGGAAACAGAAAGTCCTCTGTCAAAGAATAGTCTTGATGATGATGATAAACATCAGAGAGAAGCAAACCTTGCAATTTTATCATTTGTCTTAAAATTAAGAACATCAGGAAATATGTGACTTTATAAAAAGAATTACCCCCAATGGTACGTAACATATTATAATTCCCAAAACTGAAATTTGTTTCATTTGACAAACTGAGGTGGGCCTGAAATACTGTTCTTTAGGACCATAAAATAGAAGAATATAATTTGTATTACGAAAAACTATCACATGGGGTCAACAACATATTCCATAAATATTGATGAATAGTCTACTATGCATACCAGGCCCTGTTCCAGAAATATAGTGGTAAACATTTCAGATTCTCTAAAAGGAAGATTCTCAAGCTTCCTGTGCAGCAGAATCACCAGAAGGGCTTATTAAACTAAACACAGATGGTTGGACCCCACCGGCAGAGTTAATCAATCAGCAGGTCTGGTGTGAGGCCCAAAAGGCCCCCACTGGCAGACCCTACCCTGCTGATGCTTCCAGTCTTGGGGTCTCACTTTGAGAACTACTACTCTTCAAGGACTAAGTGGAAAATCAGAAATTCCCAACAGATTTACCTCTCTTAGCAGCCTCATGGATTGGAGATGCCAGATCACTCTCTGAGTGAGGACTGGCTCCGTTCTGCAAAAGCAAATTCACGCAGTCCAGACTGCCACTGATGCATGCATTAAACAGGGGAGTATGCCAATCTGTGCTCATAGCGTTCACCTATGGAAAAAGTTCCAGGATGAAGACAGGCAGTGGGGTAAGCTTTCCTACTTAAAACATATTATTTAATTTCTCTGAGCCTTAAAGTCCACAGCTATAAAAATGGGCAGAAAAGTATCAGAGTCCAGAAATTTGCTATGAAAACTCTGAATGAGGTTATTGAATGCAAGGCGGCAAGGGTGTTACAAAAGGTTCCACCTCCTCACTCTCTCCAGGAACATGAATCTTGAAACCAATAAGGATAATTTTTATAACTTACAAACTATCATTTATATTTTAAGCTTTTATCCTAGACAAGCCCAGTCTTCTCACAGCAGCAAAAGTGATCTTCTAAAATTGTAAAACTATAATTTTTAAAAATTATAAAACCCAGCTTTCATAGAAATGTAGAGTTAACAAAGGCCAAAAAAATTCATTCAATTCATTTGTTAATGAGGAAATCAGTAAGATGGTAAGGCTGGCTCAAGGGATAATTTATACAGTCAGTAGACTACTTAAATGTTTTTACTAATGGATTCAAAACTGGTCAATGTCCTAATAAGGTCACGGAGTTGTAGTTTTGGGGGTTAGGTTTTCTAATGTTTAAAGTCTGAAATTTACAAGCTGACATCTAACGTCACAATGTTTGGGCTACAGTCAACTAGTAAAGAGCATAGTCATATGCAGGTATGTTCTTCTTTTATATTGTTAAAGAATTCCTTGGTGAATCTGTTGAATGCTGATATTATGAAGACAATGAAATCATGCTTACATTCTGTTTCCACACAAGGCCAGGACCTGACTGAGCTACAAAAGACACTCAGGGTGCAGACTTTAAAAGATGTTCACTGCTAGAGTCACAGGTATACCAGAGGATATACAAGAGAGTGAACATCTCTTGAAAATATGTAACCTACGTACCACTTTGACTTCACTTTAGCCCTGATCCTGTTTCCATTTTTTTAGTAAGTTTTAGAACTTACATATAAATCTGATGATGCAGTCATCTCTGGCTCTCTACTCATTTCGAGACAAACCCCTTTTTATTTGACACTGACAAGGTTGCTTATGTTCAGAACTCTGTCATTCTGTCTATGCTGCCATAGGAATGGGTCACAGAAATGCACTCCCTTTCACAGTCAAGCCTTTGAATTGGCTTTCCCAGTGGCTGGAAAGCCTTTTAACTTTTCCTGATCCACCATTCTACTGTCCTCTAAGTTTCAGCTTAGACATCATGTCTTATAGGAATCTTCTTTTGACTCCTTTTCTCCAGGTGATAAATAGTGAAATACTTTTGTGCTTGTAACCACCCTCTTAGTGCTTAACCGAATACATTATTGTAGTCTGCAAAAACGGTCACAGATTCTTTCTATTGTTCTGTGCCTATTCCCTTATGATAAGGCTTTGTAAGGATGAGAGACACATAGAGATTTTCTGTCTCCCAAGACATCCTAGACAAATGTTATAGATTTTCTACAATATTTTACTACCCACCACTTATAGCAATGAAGACAAACAATTCCCAGTTATTTATTTTTTGAGTCTGGCAAAGAAAATACTAGAGACTCGAAACATAATTTTCTAGCTAAAAATTCAATATTTCACCTATCACTAAAGCAACAAACTCGAAGAACATAACAATTCTTGAAAACCATCATTCTTCCTATTTCAAATCAGGAAAACCATGTCAGAAATTATGGAGAAAAGATAGTCACAGTCATTTTTCATTCTTAGATATTATTTGCTTCTAAAATATAATTTGAGCCATATTTACCTGAGCTCCATGCATTAATAAAATACTTGCACAAGATGGATGACCTCCAAGACAGGCTTCATGGAGTGGAGAGACGTGATCTTCCGTGCTGAGGTTTACAGGCCACCCCTGGCAGACAGAAATCAAACACAATAGTGATGCAAAGCAACGGGCCTTGGGGGTGGCTTTCAGCCATTATTCTAGTACTATGCAGTTCTTTAGAAAGTTAACTTGTACTGTCAGTATTCTACTGTACTGTTCTTATGATACAACCACTAATGAAATCAGTTTGGCAGTGACTATTAAAGCCAGTGTCACACATGCCTACAACCCAACAATTTCACACGAAGGTATGTACACTCAAGAAATGCATACCTAGCTAAATATACAAGAAGGTACCCAGCAATATTAATTAGGATAGCTCAAAACTACAAATAGCCTGAATATCCATCCTTCATCAACTAGATTAATAAACTAGAAACATCACAGCAATATTATACTGAACAAACTGTAATTGCAAGCAAGTATAAGGATAATGCTTGCAAAAACAATGCTGGGCAAAAGAAACAAGAATCAAAACAATATGTACTGAATGATTACATCAATAAAAAGTTACAAATTAGGTATAGTTAACCTATATTGTTTTGGAACGCATACATAGTAAGTAAAACCATACAAAAGCAAGGAAATTGGATAATATTGCTTCGAGAGAAGATGGACATAACTTTACCTGAAGCCACAACAATTGGAAGGATAGGATAGATGTCACTCTGGAGGAATTAGCGATGTGTTGTTTTGCTATTTCTTGATCTGGGGGGCAATGTTCTCATTATCATTGTATGTATTGTTTTTAAATTGTATGTATGTGTTTTTAAATATTCTTTATGCTTGTTTACTGTATTTCTCAATTTAAAAAAAGTTTTCAAATCAGTTTAGTTTAACTTGCTAGGTTTAACAGGATTCGATACTGTGTGTAAAAAAAATAAGTTCTATCTAATTTTTTCAAAGAAAATCAATGCTCCATTCCTTGATATTTAAATTTTTTTGACCTTCTTAGCTCTGTCTTGATTTCAACAAAGTGATCAGCAAACTACAGCCCATGAGCCAAATCCAGCCAATAACCTGTTTCTGTATAGGACAGTCGCTACAAATTATTTTTATATTTTATTTATTTTTAATGTTTTATTAGTACATGTTTGAGTACATAATGCTCATGTTCATGAGGAATTTACATGTGCTATATTTTAAATGGTTAAAAAAATCAAAAGAAGAGTACTTTATGATACATAAAATTATATGAAATTCAAAAATTTCAGTGTCTGTAAACAAAGTTTTATCAGAACTTAGCCCTACCAAGTCATTTTTGTATTGTCTGTGACAGCTCTTGTGTTACAGTGGCACAGTTGGACAGTTGCAACAGACACAGTTCAGTCTGCAAAGCTTAAAATATTTACTAACTAGTCCTTTATGGAAAAAACCTGCCAATGCTGGTCTTTATCAAAGGAAGGAATACATCTTTTGTTACTTTACTATTTGCACCCATGATTTGAATATTCAATTGGCAAGGGAAAGTGTTATTTTTCATACAGTCATCACAGTTTTTTAAAAGTGGTTCTATCAATACAACAAGGGTGACTTTCACACAAGGCAAAAATTATGAAAGGGTATCAGATAAAAGTGTTTGGAAGACAGGCCCAGGTACAGAACTTGGGCAAAGGACAACCACAAGAAGAGTGGCCCATAGGAAAAGTGCAGAATTGGTCAATAAGGCACACAAATAAGGCGTGATCATCGGAGCCTCATCGCCTGCAGCACTACACAGTTCCCCTGGCCAACTACAGTGTGTGATTTGGAAGAAAATGCCTTCAATCATTCTCAGCTCAGTCTAAAATAGAGATTTACCCAGAAGTTACTAATAATGCCAAGTATGAAACTAGGAATAATGAGGAAAAGAGTAAAAGAAGCTTCACCTTGCCTAGTTTTGCAGGTCTCTGACCCATGAGCCTTTCCATAATTCCTGTCTCCAGTATTCACACCCTGTGTAATCCCCTTCCCTTGATTGAGGGCTACACCTACAGATTTTCTTCTATTGAAGAGAATATGAAAACATGACAGAAGTTCATATCCAGGAGTAGATTACTGATTTCCATCATGTCTGCATGTTCTCTTCACTGGTTTGTTTATGTGTTTTGATGAGATCCTTGACAAAGAAATGAGGGCGGTTTTCAGCTAACAGCCAAACCAAGAACTGAGGCTCTCAGTCCAATAACCCAGGAGGAACTCAGTCTTGCCAACTGCTACTTAAATGATCTTGAATGCAAATCCACACTTAGTCAAGTCTTAAGATGGTGGCAGCTCTGGTTCACACCTTGATTGCCCAGTTACAATTCTCTGAACCAGTGAAATTTGGTCTGTATGCCTGACCCACACATTCTGCGACAAACCCACATGTTTATTGCTAAGTCTGGGGCTAATTTGTTGCACAGAGGGAAATGACTAATACAGGGTCAAAGCATTGAGTGGTCCTCCATAAAGAAATGTCTGAAGGACTGACTTCAGGGTCTGTCCACCTCTGGAAAAATGTCCTTTCCAGGAGATGGATCAGAAGCCCAATCTAAACAGAACATGAAATAGCTCCAGGAATGGCTCCATAGCCCCATATTCCTAGAATATATCGTCCCCTCCTTTTTTTCTTTTTTGGGACAAGGTCTCATTTTGTATTTCAGATTGGCCTTGAACTCACTACATAGCCTAAAGTGGCTTCAAACTCACAATGATCCCCTCACCTCCACCTCCTGAGTGCTAGGATTATAAACGTGTGCTGCCACCATATCCAGCAGAATACTCAATCCTTAACTGGAGGAAAATAGTATAGTAAATGTTCTTTCTTATCTTAGCTATGATTAATCCAAGACTCAGTTCCGTATTATACATTTGATCCCAGAATGCTTTAAAGTTGTCTAAAATCATTCCTCACTCACCATCACTCCTGACACACTTACTGTCCTCCCACTCCTGGCTCAGGCAGAACTAGCGTTACTGCATTAGCCCTTCATAAGTTCCACCCTTGGACTTCACAGTGTGACAGCAGCTCTTTTGTTCTTGGAATTATTATTTTATTATTTTAATGGAGGCATCCCCTCAAATCCTTTTTGTTTCTATTCTCAGTGTTCTATATTTGTCAAATCTCTCACTGGCACTGCAAGAACACAGAAGAAATTTATAGCAAAAATGTTAACAGCTTTCTGCTCTGTTTAACAAATCATGAGATAAAAGAAAAGTAGTCTTTAAAGAAATCGTTGTGAAGTATTTCATAATTACAAAAGTATCTGCCAGTTCCAACTGTCATATTTAAACCAGCATTTGGGTGTTTATATGTAAATCCAGCTAAATGAAATGCAATAAAAAAATCACTTACGATGCCAACCATTTTCACCACACATTATATGTTAATATAATAAAGAGGTTTCTCTAAGTTTTCTCTTGAAAATGTAGGGTATTATTTCTACTTCATCATAAAGTCAAAGTTCTACATTCAATGAATTTTAGTAACTTATCTAGATAATTGAAAAGCCTGAATCATACAGCATCATAAGTTAACTTTTAACCAATTAATTTACACACCATTCAATACACAGTGGAAATCTCAGTTTCAAAAAGTACTGATTGAGTATTTATCTTTAAACTTTCTATTACCAGTTTTCACCTCATATCAGCCTATGGTCAGAAGCTCTTTGGGATGAGTCCTTGGGACTATACGATGTATGAACACCCTTCTTCTACTATATCGTAAGGACAATATAGTACACAGTAAGTGGTAACATTTTGTCATAGCCTCCCCCACAAATTATGTCCGTATAGGCTGAACCAACTGGTAACAAACATGGTTATGTTTTTCCTGTCCACAATTACCACTTACTTCTACACACACAGCAGAAAAGCAGGTCATGAACACTGTCTTTGTCACATTCATCATAACCTTCATTCCCTTGCCCCTTCACCAAGGAGATCACAGCCACCTGATGTGAGATTCCTATGTTCCCCTTGCTCTCACCTCTAAAGTCTCTATTTTCACCAGTCTTCTTTACCTTGGTGCCTTTCTTTGAGGAAGAAATGCATAAACGTACCCAACCTCCCTTGATCTCAACTGTCCCCTTTCACCCCCATGACCTTCTATCATCCACCTTCTCACATTCCTCCATTTCCCAGCTCTCTCTTTGGAGGTACACTTTCCTATTGCTTTCTCAGTCTGCTCATCCTTCAGTCTGACCATCTGTCAAACTTCATTTAATTCTGTCCTTTCCCCTCCCCCACAAAAAAACTGCCCATGCTTTTTGTTTCTTCTTTTTCCCCTTCTCTTATCTTTTACCCATGCAATCTTGCCAAGACTGTTTTAATTGTGCAATCCAAGTGCTTTTTCCTCTATATCCCTCAACCTTGAATTTGCTATGTATTCATCTTGACATCGTGAAACCTCTCCTCTGCCTTCTACAACGCAGTTCTGTCTAATTTCCACCCACTAGACACGTTTTTACTGTCTATTTCACAGACTCTTGTCTTTTTTCCTCCTTATAGCTCCCAAAATAGGCAACCTCTCAAGAATTTGCCCTCAAATCTTTTTCTTTTCTCTCAGTATTTTCTGCATCACACACACACACACACACACACACACACACACACACACGATTACTTTCAAATCTGATCTCCATCCCTAGTAGATTTTCTTATCCCTGCTAAGACATAACACCTAGATGCCTAGCTAGCAACATAAATTCATCCTTTTCCAATCTAAAAACTATCTCCATATTTTTCCAGCCCTAATTTTTTAATGACACCACTATCTTACTTCATATCTAGAACTGCAATCTTAAAAGAGAGACCAACAGACTGAGTCCCAAGACCAAATACTGACATTACCCTGGAAAGCAGTGTCAACTTGGGTCAGTTATTTACCTCATTAACACTCAATTTCCTTGTATGTAAAATGGGCAAATTGCATCTACCTTATAATGAGACTATCATGAGGACTGAAAATGATTATACAAAATTCTTAGTGGTCAGTAACTTCCAGAAAGTTTATATGGCATTTATTCTACTTTGTTATATAACTTCCCATCAGCTGCCGCAATCTAAAGATCTGATGTGTTAGAATGACAGTATCTTTGCTTGTTTCTACCCTCATAATGACTTAGCCCATTAAGGATTATAGGACGAACAATAAGGAGTTTTATACAAGTTGTTAAAACTTGATCCACACCTCTTGCTTAAGAGGAGACCTTACTGAGAAGGTTCTCAATCTTGACAACTGATCAGATTCACCCAGGGAGCTTTAGAAAAGTCCTGATATCCAGGCTGCATTCCATAACAATTGCAATGTAATCAATTCAGACATCAGTATTTCTAAGGACACCACAGCCCAAGGGGACTTCAATGTGCAATCTTGAGGGAAAAGCACCAAATCATGGTCATGTCCTGGTAAAGTGGTTACTTAACTGCATCTATTCACATAACAAATCACTGTGTTTTTAAAATGAGTTTTTATTGAAGCGATATGACCAGATATGAAAACTTTGCAGAGCCTATGTGTAAATCTCAGTGAACTATCAAAGAAAATTTACCTGTGTGATTACTACACAAGAAAAGGAAAAGAACATTACTACAGGCCTGCATAAGCCTGATTCAACTTACAATGCACCACTTGTCCCCAGAGGTACTCATGAAACTGACTTGTAACAGCATAATTTAGTTTCAAATCTAAATCATACGAGACTATCATAGTAACTGATCTATGAAGTATATATTTCTGTGGATGTGCTTGGCTTTTATTCAAAATGCTGGTCAGAATCATTCCCTCATCCATTTTCACTGCTGTATATAGTTTTATTCAATAACTAGTGGTGTTTGGATTTGGAATGTTCCTCAAAGGTACAGGTATTAAATTTTAGGCTTGGTTTCCAGCCTGTTGAGATCTTAGAAACTGATGGAACCTTTAAGTGTTGGGGCCAGTGAGAGAAAGTTTCATCATCAGTATGTTTTCCAAGGAAATATAGGATCTCTCTCCTCTCCTTTTCTCTTCTCTTCTCATCTGTTTTCTGCACCCCCTCACCATGATGTGATCTGTTTCCTCCACCATGAATTCTTGCCATGATGTTCTGTGCCACAACAGGCCCTTAGCAACAGACTGTGAGCAAACTAAAAATTTCCTTCTTGTAAGTTGGTTTTTCTCAAGTGTTTTGTCACAGTGATGGAAAGCTAACTAACACAGTAATACACCATAATATATTTCTCCATTTTACTTTGATGGGTATTTGAATTGCTTTCAAGGTTCTTTTTGTTTGCTGGCATGACTATACCTCTACTTGCTTTTTTTATAAACACATATGTATGTATCTATTACATATATATCTAGAAATAGAATTGCTAAGTTATAGTTGGAATATTTTTAATCTTAGTAGTTATTATTAACAATTTTCCAAAGTATTCTGTACAAATTTATACTCCTAGGTTTGCAAGAGAACGCCAGTTGCCCACATCCTTGTCAGCACATGGTATTATCTTTATCTTTTCAAATATAATTCTACTGAGGGGAAGAAGTAATAGTATCTTCTATTTTTAAATTCACATTACCTCAATTATTATACCAATAAACACAGTTTGATATATTTATTGAATATTTGGATCTTCTCTTTGTGAATGGCCAGGCTAAGTGTCTACTCATTTTATATTGGGATGCCTATTTGTTGTCTTCATTTTAGACCAGGAATATTTTAACAATATTTTCAGTTGGTTCAATCCCCAGAACTGTGAAAAAATTACAAGTATTGACTCCTAGTCTGTGGCTTGCCTTTCCAACTTTTTTAACATTGTCTTTTGATGAAGTTCTTAATTTTAAAGAAATCCAACCTATCAGTCTTTTTATTCCTTTTCCCATACTATATTCCATCTTTTTCAAAGCCACCCTCTCTCTCCTACAACTATCAAAATGACCATGTCTTATCTTGCACTCAGTGATTCTGAAGTGGTTTTTTTTTGGGTTTTTTTTTTGTTTGTTTTTTTAGCAAATACGAATTCATGAAGCCTACCCTAGGATAAATCAGAATGTCTGAAGTAAGACCCAGGCATTGTTATCTTTTAAAATGTATCCTGGATTATTTTTATGTGAATAAATGATATAGAATGACAACTAATGAGTTCAATTTTTCCTTTCTTGATATAATGAGAATTTAATTTTATAGTTTTCCCTTTGTCTTATAGGCACTTGAATGCTTTATCTTATTTATCTGAGTAAAATATTTTTTAATTTTCCAACAGTGTTTTTCTTTGATTATCTGAAGCGCTGCATAGATTATAATAAAATAGATACTGCTTGTGATGACTAATGGGATTAGACAATTTGTCTATCTTCAGTTAATTCTGTCAAATCCATTTAAATTGAATTTAGGGTCTCAATTCTTTGCTTTCCTATGGTAGTGTAACATATTCACTCTCTTTCCATGATCTCATAGTTGACAAAATATATATTTCCTTGATCCTTGACTTTGGACTTGGTCATGTGATTTGCTGTGACCAATGGAATAGTAGTAGATGCACTATAGGCAAAAATTGGATGGACTATGTTTTTATCTGATTGACCTTTCCCTGCTATTCTCTGGCCTTTTGTCAAGTTCACTTGACAATGCCTCAGGTAACCAGTGATCCATGAAGGATGAAAGATATGTGCAGCAGCTATACCTAACTTACTGCTTGGAGCTGAATCCAGGCAAGCATCCCTTATATCAGCTGACCCAAATACTTAGTACCAGGAAATCATGACTACTGTATTATTGTACTGAGCTTTGAGGCAGAAATCAAGGTTCTAATATGTAACTCACTTGAATAATGTGATAGAGCTTTGATAATGGTGTGGTTCTGGCTGATGATCATTCAGTAAACACATAAATACTGAACACAGATGAACATCTGTCCACATTTAGCAAGCTATATATAAAAGCTTCAAAGATCATTTTTTATCCTACCAAAATATGGTAAATGTTTCATTTTATCTGAGAACCATTCTAACTTCTTTTACCTAGAGTTATCTGTTATAATCTATATTTCTATTTATAATAGGCTGCTGCCATGAAAAATGGGGGGTAGTAAACTGGGGGTAGTAAAAAAAACTTCCTTGAAAAATCGTTTTTTATAGGAAATTTTCTCAATCTATTTTCACTAATTTTTACCAAAAATTCGCATGCTCTTCAATTAAGAATCTAGATAACAAATCATAGTAGTAGAAGCATGTTACAGTACTGTCAATGATAAAAATCATACATTTTAATGCATTATGATTGTTGCAGATATCTAAAATATCTCAAAATATAGGCTCACCCTACTTAGAAATATTATTATTATTATTATTAGAATCACCACTAGACTTTCTTTGATGAATTAATTTAAAGATTCATATAGTATTATGGCACACATTTGTTTTAATATTTTGGTGAGTTTCCTCTGTGTTATAATTTGTGCATTTAAAACTTCGGACTGGGAGGGAGTGGTTCCAGGGATTGAACTCACAACTTAGTGCTTGCCAGGCAAGTGCTTGTACCACTGAGCTAAATCCCTAACCCTAAAAGTTTATTCTGAGAAAGGGGTCCATTAGACATTGCCAGACTGCCAGATGGGTCAATAGTACACAGGGAGCTAAGAATTCCTAATGTAATAGATATATTCATTTTAGACATCAAAATGATCTAAAGAAACGGGATTTTTGAATGGTGACTGCAGCTGCTTTCTTAAAGGTGACTTTGTGTAGCTCTCTAGTAATTTTAAAACCTATAAAATTGCAGTAACTATGTACTAGATTACATGGTGAGGAGCAGAGAAGCTGAAATTAAACTGGTTAGAGCCATGGTCAACTGGGGATTTAGCAGAACTGAAAATGTGTTTGAAATTACATGATTATATATTTTAAAAAGATACTTTCAAGCATTTATTTTAGAGCAGGCGTTTTCAGCCTCAGCTTTGCTGATATTTGGGGCCAGATCATTTTTGATGAGGAGGGCTGCCTTGTGCACTGTAGGACAGTTTAGCAGTTTCCACCCACTAGATGCCCTTATGACTACCACTGTAGTGTGACAACCCTAACAACCAACAATAGCCTCAGACATTTTAAAGTGTTTCCCGAGGGGCATAATTACTGCAGCTGAAAATCACTATTTTACATCTTAATGTTTAAGAACACAAATTATTACATAAAGTAGAGGCAGCTTGAATGCATTAAGTCACCAGCTATTCATTTAACAGCTACTTAGTATGCCCCTATTATATGCTTACAATTGTACTAAACTCTGGCACAACAAATGTACTAACCTCTGCCATTATATAAGACTCCAAAGTACAAAATTGTTATATGACATGGTCATTTTGTTTAGGAGGAAATTTGTATCTTACTGTAGATCTATGATTTCCTTTTTCTGAGTTTGATGTAGCAATAGCATTTGCTTAATTGTACCGTTCTACTTCAAAGAGCTACCTGGTTGAGGAGGTGCCTCAAAGAGAGCAGACGTCCATGGATTGCAGCTTCATGCACTGGAGACCAGTAGGACACGATATCTATGTGGAAAGAGAGGAATAGGTTACAGCCTGCTAATGCACTTAGACGAGGAGGCTTATCTTCACCCATCATTAAAAACATAACAGATCCTAGATGGAGACATAGAAGTCACTTAACCAAAATTCCCATCAGGTCTTTGGAATTTCTTCCATGTATTGATGTTTCTTGTGTATTGTTTGTTGGAAATGCTGGGATAGCTGAAAAATCACAGCCAGGGCTCAAATTGACAATAAAAGAGGCAGATCAGGAGATCATGGTGTTAAGTGAAATAAATTAGGCACAGAAACACAGGTACTGCATGATCTCACCCATTTGTAGAAGCAAAAATAGTAGAGCATACAATGGTAGCTACCAGGTAATGGAGAGTAGAGGGGAGGGAGGAGGGAGGATGGTTTGAAAAATAGGTGCTAAATTATTGTTGAATAGAAGCAAAAAGTTCTGCTGTGTTATCGTTCAGTAGGGTGACGACAGATAACAGTACCACATATTTCCAAAAGCTGAGAGAAAGGATTTTGAATGTTTTTGCCATGAAACAAATGGTAAATATTTAAGGAGATTGGTGTGTTTAACCTTTTACACATTTCATAATGTATACATTATGAAAGCATCACACAGTACCCTAATAATATATACATTTTAATTATCAGTTAAAAATCCTAAATTTAAATTGCAAAAAGTTTTGAAAATAGGAAGATTGAGATGACAGATGACAGTCCTTCCATTTTTACAGTGGTTTCAAAGGCAAATGGCCCATTTAATTAAGTGAGAACTTTGCTAGCTCTCAGCATTAGTTCATTGAGCTACGGCCGCCAATCTAGTTTCCTGCATAAAATACAAACTTTGGGACTTTAGTAAGAGTGCCACATACTAATAGAGGTAATCATGTAATTACATACACCATTAAGTTTGGAATCAAATCTAGAGAATTTATCTATTTATAGATTATCTTCCCCCCCCCCTGCAATATTGATTGCAAATCAGAGTTTAGTCTGACATTGAACCAAGGTTATTACCCATACTTACCCCCAAAGGCACTTTATCAATGGGTTAAAAAGAAGCTCTGAATTCACACTCATTTGATTTCTGAGCTGTGGATCCCTGAACAGGCTCTGACTCTCAGTTTCTCCTTTGATTCATGGAGGAAAGCAATATAATTATCCATGGCCTGATACATATTAGCTACTGTTATTATTTTGCCCTAACATTAGAGTGTTTATTATACTCCACAATAATTGCTATGTAAGAGAGTCTATAACTACCTAGGAGAAACAAAAACTCTTAGAAAAGACCCTGTAAATCCTAACCCAGTGCATTAAATGCTTTCTTCTTGCTTTCTAATTACATGTGGATATAACTGAGTGAGACGCAGACCCAAATTTTTCTCTCTCAAGCTGCATCTGACTTCCAGAACAAACAGATGCAGAAATTCAAAACAGAAGGAGGTCTACCTGGGTTTATATCAGCACCAGCTCTATCTATTTTGGTAAACACACAATGTACAAGAAAGGCAGAATGATCTGATACCAGTTTTGCTTTGCGTGGAAGCCAGTAAGTACTAAGAAAATCATGAAGACTAGAGTGGCTGCTAATGCCCTCAAACTGGAAGGCTGTGAAAGAACATTGTGTACTTCACACGTGTTGGCAAAGGCCTGTCTGCTACCTGGAGCCATCAATGTTCTGGAAAATCTATCCCAGTGAGCAAACTATCATCTTTCCAGATGGATTCCTTAGCGTTTAGTATATAAGAGAAAAGTGAATGAGCCTATACACCACCCTGGTTGGGGCTTTCCTTCTGGGGTCACTAAGGTCTTAAGGCAAGACATCTTAAGTGAAATGACTTTTCCTACCTCCAAATCTTTATGCTCAAGATAGATTCAGTGTCCTCTCAGTATTTTCTGAGGTTTGTAATTCTCACAGGAAAAATACTGCTACTTCTAGGGCCAGGAGTCTCAAATGCATATTACAGGTATGAAAAAATTTAGATTCAAATTAAAATTAAATGGATGGCTAATTACATCTTGTTGGTGCTGATAATACAAAATGCCATTCATACAAAATCTCAAGTAAGAAGAGAGAGCCAAAAAATGAGAAGGATTTTTTGAAAATCAGTTTCAAATAGATTTGCAAGAGTACCCTAATGTACTATGTGTATGATGATTAGTCCATCAATTTCTTCCAGTGCTCAGTTGCTTAGAAATATAACTGCCTCACTCTCCAACCTTCTTAAAGCTACTTAAGATTGTTAGAGTTTACAGCCTAAAGAGTCCAGGCAGGTAATTCAGGTCCTAAATTATAATAACCGTGTTCAAATTTCATAAAAATGCTGCAATCATATTATTAATGTAGACAAAAATGGGGTCTAATTTCAATTCATTCCTTGTGAAGTCATTACTCCTCCTATTTAAAGCAAATAAAGAATTATGTTCTTCTCCAAGAGAAAGCTAAGGGCTACTTTATGTTCTCCACCCATGCAGAATGTCATATTTACAGAACAGAAACAGCCTGTGTCTTTCAGCAGTATACAGTTTGTCCTTGCATGCACAGTAATAGGCTGACAATACTAATATCTGTATCTAGCTACCTGGTTAACATTTTTGAGCTATAATTCACATGCCACAAAATTTACTCATTTAAAATACATAATTCAATTATTTTCATTATATTCACAGACTTGTGGGTCCAACACCACCTTCAATTTTAGAACATTTTCATCACCCTGAAAAGAAATCCCATGCCCCTTAGCATTAACTGCACAGCTCCACCTCTCCCAGGCCTTGGAAACCATTGATCTACTTTCTGTCTTTATGGATTTGCCTATTCTTGACATTTCATAGAGATGGACCCATTTAATATGTGCTGCTTTGTGACTGACTCCTTTCATTTAAGCATAACATTTCAAGGTCTATGGCCATTGTACTTCATCCCTTCTGTGGTCAAATACTCATTGTATGGATAGAGTGCATTTTATTTATTCATTCATCAGTTGATGGATATTTGAGTTGTTTCCCCATTTTTGGATATTATTAATAGTGCTGCAGCAAATATCCATGTGCAAGTTTTGAATGGCTGCATGATTTAGGTCCTGTTGTGCCTAAACAAATAGAATTGCTGTATGATCTTGTAATATAATGCCTAGGCTTTTGAGACTATTTTTCTCTGTGAATGCACCACGTTGTATTCCCATCAGCATTGTTTGACGTTTCCCTTTCTAATTTAAAGTCGTGTTGTTCTAGGTTTGTTCTAGGGTCCTGAACAGAAAAAAAATGGGGCCTTTTAAAGCCTAAGTATATTATTTATACAAGGATTTCAGCTTCATCAGATCTCAGAACTACTGATTATATAAAAATCAAAACAGTGACAATAGATAGAGTAACATTTTTCTAACATTTAGAGAACATGTTTTGGGCATGCATGTGTGTAGGTCCCTATATACACACAGAAAAACACGTAGTTTAGCCAGCACTGTAATTTGCACTATGGGTTAGTTCACACATTCTCTCTTACCATGAAAAACATTGAAGTAACAGTGAAGCTGTGCACCTCATAAAACCCAAAATGAGGGGTCTGCATCTGAGGACCTGGCAAATGCTTCTCTGGGGTTTCCCAGAGTCCACACCTCAAGTAATCAACGAGCTATAGGCTCAATGCATACCAGTTAAACCCAAAAGCAGCCTTCCCTGTAACTGGCTGCTGAAAAGAGCAGAACAAGCAAAAAAATGAGACCTATTTTCCTGCCAGAAAATGATGATGCTCACAGTAACAGACTATCTGATCAGCAAAGAGGAGACTCAAGTCTACAATATCCTTTAACATTGATTTCACCAAAGTCTTTGAAACTCAAGGTTTCTTACCTGTATGTAACACATTACACAAGTACTGGGAACATGCTAAGATTTATTGACATTTAATACTTCTTCTGTATTTCCCAAACACTTGTTCAGCCATTGTCTATTGATTTTCCTGCCAAAAGGTGAATGCCAAATGAAGTCACTGCTGACATCATGGGTCCAGCAGTGTAGCTCACAGGTGAAATGGGGCCGAGAGCTCTCATAACAAAATCATTCTACAAGTTATTCCATTAGTGCCATTAAACTTACCTTTTCGAAAACTGGGTCTCTATCAAACCTACAGTACATTAAGAAGGGTGCTATTTCATTTTTATTACACTTTCTGGAATGATTTCTAAAATTTCCATTATTTCAGGAAAGATTTAAAATGCACTAATTGATGCATTCTAAAAAGAGCTATTACCAAGACTCAGAGCCTAGAGGAGGCTGGGAAGTAGCATAAATCTATCTTGGGAACATTTTGTAAGGTCAAAAGAAGAGAGGTCGGGTTGCTGGGTAGATGGGATCACTTGCTTTCAATCTTCAGGACATAATAAAGGTGGATTCAGTGGCACAAACCAACACTGGAAAGGATCTGGGTTCCATGTTTATAATTACATTGAATCTTGGTTTGATTCCAGGACAAACAAAGGAGTCGGTAAATGAAGACCCCAAATCAGAAACAGGCAAACAGAAAGGCCCATTGAGAGACCTCTGAGGCAAGTTAGTCCTGTTCACTACTAATTGTTTCTTCAGTCTCCCTGTTTCTGTCCCTGTCCTTGTCCCTCTCCCTCTGCCTCTGCACACCATAGGCACCTCACATTATCATGCATTCTGTTTACATATACAGGTCATGCTCAGAAAACGTGCCCCTCCTAAGTTGCTCCAATATCCAAAATTCACCAAGAGAATCATTTCCTTTCAATGCCTGTTCTTGCCTGTCTTCCATTTAAAAATGAAAACTCTCTATAGGGTAGGCTCAATTTTGTGAAGGAGGAAATAACCCTACAGGAGAGCCTGCAGGCAAAATTTCAAAGGATAGACACTAAGAATGGAAACTGTGCAGTACCTTGGGCAGTAGAGGTATTGTGTTTAGTTTTTCTTTCAGTGTATTTCCCAGAGTTTCTATGAGTAGCTGTGAATGAGTTTCCTAGGGTTACAATAACAAAGCACCACAAAACTAGGTGACTTAAGATGATAGGAATTTGCTGGGGATTTAGCTCAGCAGCATAAGCAGCACAAGCTCCTATCTGGCAAGTGTGAGGTCATGAGTTCAAACCCTGGTAACAACATAAATAGATAATAGATAGATAGATACATAGACAGATAGTTTTCTTCTTAGAGTCCTAGAGACTAGAAGTTTAGAATCAAGGTATCAACAGGACATTCTCTCTGAAGGTTCCAGAAAGAGTCCTTTCTCACCTATTCTAGTTTCTGGCAGTAATTCAGAGTATCTTTGATCTTCCTCAATTTATAGACACTTCTGTTTTTACATTGCTTTTTCCATGTATGTTTACTCTCCTTTTCTTATAAAACATAAGCCCTGTGATATTAAGGTCTATTCTATTCTACTATGACCTCATTTTAACTCATTACATCCACAATGACCCTATTTCCAAATAAGTCTCACTTTGAGAAACAGGGGCTTTGAATTTCAATTCTTTTAAGGGGCACAATTTGACTCATACAAAGGTAAAATGACAGGGATGAAATGGGGTAGAAATCATTAAAGTATGTTATATGCATGTGTAAGTATGCCACATGAAATCTATTAGTCTGTACACCTAATATGCACTAGTAAAACAAAGAAAAGACACTCTTTCCCTGTTCCTGAGGCAGGAAAGTCAAGCACTAAATAAATCTCTAAGGATTGACTTCCCATTATCAAATCCATCCATCCATCCATCCATCTATGTTTCCATCCGTTATTCCTTTCTTTCCTCCTTATGGAAAAGGCAAAGAAGAAGCCTGCAGGTGAAGTGGTAACAGCAAAATTCCCCAGAATGAACCCAGTCTGAGCCTATCTGTTCTCTGACTTGTCCTTGTACTCAGGGACATGCTTTGCCTAAGAAGAGTTTCTCATCCTAGCCATTTGGAAATGGTATTTTGTTTCATATTCCACATTTTACTGAGGTCAAGTCTTCAGAGGCAAACACAAATGCAAACAGCTACACCTGAGGCTTTACCCAAGGCACAAGACTAGTACAAAGCAGGGAGAATGCCTGGATCAGACTTCATTAGAGGAGTATCTCCACTGGATGTGGAAGGTAAATAGGAGTTTGTCAATGAGATTCAGAGAAGGCGGAGAAAGAGCAGAGGTATCCAGGAATCTACCCCTTGCGACTGTCAGCATTTTGCAAACTTCTCTTCCCTTAGTCCCTGTGTAATTCCAACTGAAGCCTCTCCCCCTTTCTCTCTCCAGTTTACCGATACATCCTTAACTAGAAGCTCAGGCTCCATCCTTGGTTCTTAGCTCTTGGCCATCATAAAATTTCTCTTTTGGGTCAGCTTCAACCACAGCTCTTATGCAGAGCATTCTGAGGTCAGCAACTCCCAACCTGCATTTGGACCCAATCCCAGTTCTATATTATCATGTTATATATTGAACGCAGTTCCTGTTTTTTTTCTATTCAATACAAAACACTTCATCCTCTCTTCCTCACTTCACTCCCAAGTTAAGTAACTGTCCTTCCCAAATTCCTTCTTACCTAGCTCTCTTACTCAACATTATTTTAGGTTTGAAAACCTTACCATTTTGGCTGCCTTTTCTCCTTTAACCTTTATACTAATCCAAGAAGTAAATCTGATGTCTATTTCCTTTTAAAGTATCATCATTTCTCTGTCATTTCTTGTTTGATCCAAATGTACCCTTTATGCTTTGATTAGTGCCATGGTTTCCAAAAGTGTGTTCCCTTACAATCACCAACAGCATGACTTGGCATCTTGCTGCAACTGAAGGCTCCAGGATTCACCCCCAAATTTTTCACACATTGCATCAGTTTCATTTTAGAAACCCCTCATTGAGGAACACAAGAATTTGAGAATGAGTAGTTTAGTGCAAAGTCTCCTATAATACCTGCACAATCTATCCTGATTATGCCTACTAGATTAACTTACTTACAACCTTCATTATTGTCAGGTCTCTGCTCCAGAACCATCAGTGGCGCCAATTCCCTAACCCATAAAGGTTAAACCCTCTACCTTGTTTTTAAAGCTTTATCATCTGTCTCTACCTTCTCAAACTTGTCCCCACAAGATTCCCCAAGATGCTCTGCATTCTACCTGTGATGTAATTTATTCACTTTCTAATCAACATATCTCTGAGTATAATACCTGCCCATGTCCACCCACCCATCTTGCTACAAAAAGAGATGGATTAAAACCTTAAGAATTCCTGAACAGGGGCTGGGGATTTAGCTCGGGGCATAAGCACCTGCCTTGCAAGCGCGTGGTCCTGAGTTCGATCCCTGGTACCAATTTGAAAAAAAAAAAAAAAAAAAAAAGAATTCCTGAACTGTGAAAAGTAGCTGGGTCCCCTCTCCCACATAGAATCAAAGATAAACATAATGCTTTGCTGTCAGAGAATTGTGTGCATATCAAACAAATGATTGATTCTTTCATATAGTTATTGGCTTGATGCTGAAAAATATATTTGCCAAATTCATTTTCAAAAGTGATTTTTAGTATCACCCTGCTTTGCTAAATATTCCAAATTTGTGTTAAGAATACCTATTTATTTATTCAGTTCTGACTTTGTGGAACCAAATCCTACCCATTATTGTGTGTTCTGTTTTTTTTTTTTTTTTTCTTTTTTCGTTTTTTTTGTACCAGGGACCGAACTCACGACCTTGCACTTGCCAGGGCAGGTGCTTATGCCACTAAGCTAAACTCCCGGCCTTTGTTCTGCTCTTTTTAAAAGGAAAATTGGACAAATAAGTGAATGAATGAGCAGTATTGTCTGCTCAACCAGTCACAGAGAAGGTGTTTTATTTTTTGTCTTTTTTCGGCCTTCTTTTACCTGTATTGTACCTGATTTCAGCCTCCCTGTTTATTGTCCCTCTGACCATGAAGTGTTTTGGGCAGCTTACCAGAGTAATGAATGTAATACTCCCTCCTGAAATGCTTAGACACAGTTTTCAGAACCCTTTCAGCCAGCAAGCACCTGCTGAATCTTTACAAGAAGGTAATAGTGTTCATATGCGTGGGACTCTGTGCCTAAGTAAAGACTTCACCTGATATTAAGGTATTTCTCAAACTTTTTTAAAAAAGTAAATCATATTAGTGCCCAATATTTGAACATCTTTTATAAATGCAGCCCCAACATAGATTGCAAATACCTAAGAGCTTTTAGTGAAAGTACTTCTAATTAAGAGTTTTTTTCCTATTTATAAGTAACTTGTAAACCTCTAGCTTAGTAAATAATGCATTTGACCCGCAAAAAATGATTCCTTGGGGCTGAAGTTTTTACTGGATAATTAAATCTGCATCATCTGTAGCACTCTGCAAAAATATAGACATGTACACATTTTTAACAACTGTGTAAAGAATATATATCGACAGGCTGTGACCATCTGTCCAGTAACTGCTGCATAGACACAGCTCAGACAGACCCACTGAAATTGCCCAGTCTTTTTCTCTCCTATGCACATTAATCACCCCCCCCCCCAGAACTATGATTTTGCAGCCCCTAAGACTCACCCCTCATAAATGAGCCTGAAAGGTTCCTGATGTCAGGAGTGCCTGCTTGCCCCAGGGGCTTGCTGGGATTCATGCCTTGTTGTTCGTTGTCCATGGTGTTTTCTGGGCCAGCAAGTTCCACACTCTACTTCAGTTGCTTAGGAAAGTCCAAATTCCGTGCTTCTCATGCCCCTGGGAAATTCCAGTTCTGTGGATGGCTGAATTACACACGTGGTGGTCAGACAGTCTGCAACAGAGAACAGTACAGGCAGGGTAATTTGAGTATTACCTGTGGTCACTCACACACACGCGCACACACACCACCCAGCAAGCTGGAGGCTGGCCAAAGCCCACAACAGCCCCTAAGCCTTAAGTCTGCTAAGTTGCTGATGTCATATCCTTTCTAAAACTGAGACCAATCGGTGAGGAAGCCTTGGAGTTTATCAGGAAGAAACCTCAGTTTTTAAACTTTTAAAGGACGAAAGGAGCAGGGTGGGGAGGGGGTAAAGGAAACAACTTGTTTGCTGCAAAGTTATTCACTGGGTTGAACTCTGCTACTTGGAAGCCTCATGGGGCTAAACTAGCCCCAGCACCCAAGAGCTGAGAAAGCTGGTGCTGCAGCAGCCTTGTGAATTGCCTGCACAGCACGCCTTGGTCATCTACACATGTGGTTTCAATTTTGCTAGGATTGTCTTATGGAAAATGTGTCTATATGTTACAAAAATGAACCATTTGGAAAGAACTTCTATTTTATTCCTTTTAGCCACAAGGAATTTAATAATTGTCCTATTATACTCTTGCTCTACACATTTTGTTTTATCTTCAAAATAAATAATGAATAATTGTGATTGGAAAAATGGATTGCAGGGGGTATGGGTTGTGGAAGAGACCTGCTATCTTTCAACTGTTAATTACACACAAATGTTATTTTGTTAAGATTTCATTGATTTGCCTATACAAAATATTCTAATATTCTGTATTTGGGCTATTCAATTTCTAGTTTTCACTTTCCACCACATCCATGTGTGCTTATTCAGGCTGACAGTCATCTTTAGACTTCCACTGCTCCTATCTGCCAGATGGAAGAGGATTTTCCATCCTCACTGGATAAGGCTCTGAGTTACTCTTCAAGCATTATCTGGTGAGGAAATAATTGTGGATTTGTTTTAATGCCAAAGTTGTAGTCGCCTTTTTTAGGTTAATAGATACTCAGTTAAAACATTTGGTAACCATCATTAACAGTATAAAGACTATCCTTCACATTTTACAATGCATTATGTATGTGATATATATGTACAAGTATCCCTTTATGTTTTCACTTAAATATAGTTATCATAATTTTCTGATACTGTATAGCTATTCTGTCTGGAAACCCTCCCCAGCTCAGCTTATATGGCTATGCTTCTTTATTCACTCACTACTGCAATCCGTATTATGCTAGAAGTATTCACTTTGTCTCCTAATGATGCAAGAAGAATGCTGTCATTTCTTTTGCTACATTTCCACTGCAGTTCATATTCATGTACATGTGACTTTGTAAGCATATTAAAATATTTCTGTGAGAGGGATTCCTAAGAGTGTAAACGCTAAGCTAAATGTATGATCTTATACATGTGATAAATTCTATAAAAAGACAGAGACTCATGAATCAGTGCAAGTAAAACTGGGAAGTCTAAATAAGATTAGTAGCTTGTATGAATGTTGATTTCCACTTGTGATATTGTACTATATTTTTTGCAAAAGGTTGCCATGGGAGAAAACTGATCTAAGTGTCAGGGGATCACTCCATACAATTTTCAGAACTGCTTGCATCTATAGTTATCTAATACAAGTTTTAACCTAAAACAGAAACTTTTAATTTTATGAATTAAAAATTTTTATGCTGCCAAATTTTCTTCCATCTCTAGTATAGAATTAGCTGAGAAGGCCAAAAACATACAGATTTTTCACTATCAGGACATACTTAGAGAATGATTTATATTTGGCTTAGAATGAGAATTTTAGTCTCAACCTGGTCTATAAGAAGGAGTTAAACAGAAGGCATGAGGAGAAAGTTGGATGCTATTGCCACTCTTTTCCAACAAAATCTTCACAGCATAGTTTCTTTATTTACTTTTACTTGAATTCCAAAAGGATAAAGTTTTCCATATTCAAATTTATGCTCCAGAACGACAGTAAAGGGTTCTCAGGTTGTTGCCTCACAACTTGGGAAGGAACTCATTAGCTTTTAATTGTTGATTATATTTATAATGTTACTCACCACTAATGAATAGGAGGGTAGAAGCTGAATTTTTAAAAACTGTTTAACAACAGTTATTTACCAGAGAATTTTCATGCTTTTTAAGTACTAGGATGGGGATAAAATTAAACTGCATGTGTTTGAACTGTGGTTATAGAGAAACATGGTGTCTCACTGCAAGCCACAAGAGAAGAACAATCATACTAACTTCTGGTCCAACTTGGGAGCCCTCAGTGTGTGTCTGGGTGTTCAGTGAAACTGGCTCAGGTCAAATAGGAAAAAGGAATGGCCTTGTGCAGCAAATGGTAGAGTGATAACCATTACCTACCAAGGACATTGCTCAGAAGCCAGGGCCTCCGCACCCCCTCACTTACATGTCCTTAAGGGTCACCTCACTCACGGATCCTAAGACTCTTGGCCTCTAGGATCTTCCTCATGAGAAGCTTTAGAAATCACTCCTAAACAAAATTGGTCCAGGCACTGAAACCTCCAGTCACTCCAGCCAGCAATTTTTCTAGCACAAAACCTTTCCAACATAAGAGATCCACTTCTCTGATAAATTGGAATGCTCTGCTGTCTCAGACTGAAGTCCTATCTTTTTCAGTTGTTCTTGTAGGACTGGCTCTGTGCACTGAGCTCTGATGCTGCTTTAGAGAGCAGTCCCTCATTCCTAATCCGTGGAGCTCTACAAAGAGATTCAAAGAAGGATAAGTTTCATTCTTATTTAATTATTATGCTTATTAGTAAATGTGTGCTGGACACAATAATTACATTTATCGAGGGGAGTTAGTACATGTAACACATCTTAACACTTTTTACTTTCTCATACCCTCTCCTCCTCCTTTCTCTCTCCATCTCCTAGCCTCTTCTCATCTGTGAAAGATCTATTTCTCTGTTTGCTATTATCTATTTTATTATTTTGCTTTTTACTTTTGGGTTTCTTATGTAAAAGAAGCCATGTGATACTTAAGCTTGTGTTCTGATGTTTCACTTAATATTGTGGTGCCAAGATATATCCTTTTTATAACAATGACTGAAATTTTATCCTTCTTTATGTCAGAGTAGTCCGCCATTGTGTACAAACACGATATTTTTTTTACCTACTCATCTGTTAATGGATATGTTGATGCTTCTAAAATTTAGCTATTATGAGTTCTGCTGCTGTAAAAATGGGTATCTATGTATCACTGTAACACAATGTCCTTAACACTTTCAGAAAGATACTTGCAAAAGGAATATCAAAGTTGAATGGAATTTGTACTTTTGTTTTTTGAGGAATCTCTATACCGATCTTCATAGTTGTTGTACTAGTTTGCATACCCATCCACAATGTAGGATTCATTTTCCCCCACAGTCTAGTCTCTATTTGTTATTGTTTGATTTCTTCATGATAAACACCGTGAGTAGGATTGAATCTCATTGTTGCTTTAATTTACAACAGTGAATCTAATATTCAGAGATATTAAACATCTTCATGTGCTTATTGGTCACTTGTACTCCTTCTCAAGTGTCTGTTCATTTCAGTTGCTCATTTTTTAATTTTGTCTTTTATTTTGGATGGTCTAATTTTTTAATTGCTTCATATATTCTAAACACTAGTCCTTTAAAGAGTAGCTGGAAAAATTTATTCCACTTTATAACTCTTCTCAGCAATATATTGGTTGTCTTTTTTGCTAGGCAAAAATATTTTAATATAATATCTCATTGTTGGTTCTTGATATTATTTCTTATATATTTGGAGTTGTGCTCACAAAGTCCTTGCCTACGTGTTTCTGTTTTATTTATTGATTTAAATTTTATTTTAAAGATAATAAAACAAAACAGAATAAAGCAATTCAGAATAGAACAATGTAAGCAATACAGGACTTCAAAACAAGACAACAGGAAATCAACAATGGCTACCATAATGTCTCTCATTTTCTTCAAAATAGCTGTCCATACCATCACATGCAATAAAATCAAACAAAACAAAACCAATCAAAACAAAAGAATGAAAGTGTTACAGGACTTCAAAACATGATAACAAGAAATCAACAATGGTTACCATTATACATCCCATTATCTTCAAAATAGTTAGCTGCCCATACCATCAGAAACAGGAAAGTCTAACAAAACAAGACAGAATAAAACCAAACCTAACAAAACTATGACAATGATACAAGAATTCAAAACTAGATAGTAGGAAATTAACAGTGGTTACTATTTTCCCTTTTTAGGCATTTCCTATCACTTTCATAATATCTCTTGTGCTTTTTGGATCCCACTAATTTCTTCAGTTTTTTTATGCTAGAGAGATTACTCAATGTTCATCCATAAGAGTCCAAACCATTTCACCTATAAGCATGATCTCCAGTTGCATCCACTTACCTACAAGAGCCTATAGATTATACTTTATAACTCGGTAGCTTTTGATTGTATGAAAATACATGTATTTCTTATCCATTCTGCAGTTGCTTTTTTCTTGTCTCCTGTCACATGGAACAATTATTTTCTCTCCTTTGATTTTCAGTCTATGAATTTCCTTTCCAGTTAAATGTGTTTCTTATATACAGTATATTGATGAATCTTGTTTTTTCATCCACTCTCTCTGTGTTTTCTCTTTATTGAATTGAGGGCATCTACATTAATGGTTACAAACAGCATATGTTGGTTCATCTCTGCCATACTATTCTACAGTTGGCCCTCCACTTTTCCCCTTCATTCAATTGCCTGTCTTGTTTGGTGATCCTTCTCTGCTGTTGTTCCTGGAATTATGGTCATCTTGATCTCTCTCTATAATACCCGTAAGCACTATTTTGTAAGCACTATTTTGATTTGGTGGTCATTAATTCCTTTAGTTATTCTTTATTATGAAAGTATCTTATTTTTCCATCTTTTTTATTTTAGAAAAAGGGTAAAACTAGGCATAACAAAACAGAACAAAGAAGATCAGAAGAAAACAATATAAGTGACACAGATTTCAAAGCAAGACAACAAGAGATCTACAGTGGCTGCCATAATATATCTTGTTTTCTTCTAAATGGTTGTCTATCTACACACACGATAAATTCATGCAAAACAAAATAGTATAAAAATGATAAGAACAGAGTAATGAAGGCATTACAGGCTTTCAAAACCAGACAATA